AGCATGAACGGGGGAGGGGCAGAGAGAGAGGGAGACACAGAATCGGAAACAGGCTCCAGGCTCTGAGCCATCAGCCCAGAGCCTGACGCGGGGCTCGAACTCACGGACCGCGAGATCGTGACCTGGCTGAAGTCGGATGCTTAACCGACTGCGCCACCCAGGCGCCCCCAAAGACAATTATTTTTAAAGCATTGTTAAATTGCCTCCTGGAAGAGTTGTGCTCATTTACGCTCACGGTGTAGGAGTCTCCCTAACCATAGGCACATAAGACAACCCAGGTGACCAGCCAGACTACCTGTTAATTCATTGCAGTAGAGTAGATAAAACTGAAGATAAGGCAACTCCCAGATTCATGTTGTGGGAAGAAGACAGTCTGGGGTATAAAAACTAATTTTATCTTTTACCCAGTATGTCATTGGCATCAGGCTCTAGTAGGTATTAGCATAATTAAGTTTCAGATTATTGGATATTGAGTTGCTGACATTGGCCATGATGGATGGACTTTTTTGCTATACTAGGTTGAAGTCTTTTCTGCCAAAAGATTGAATTGTGTTCTGTCTACTGGCCGGCCTAGGATTCACTTGGAGGGATGTATAAAACTGAAGAGTTGCTACATTGAAATATGCTTAAAATGAATATCCACCTGAATTCAGTAAAAGATGAAAGATGGCTGGGTACTTGGCTGGCTCAATAGGTAGAACATGCAACTCTTGATCTCGGCTCCAGGTTGTGAGTTCGAGCACCACATTGGGTGTAGAGAGTACTTAAAAAATAAAATCTTAAAGAAAGGATGAGAGATGGCTGTCTAAGTAGCATACACACTTGGAATCTAGAGAAAATATTGCACAGTACTTAATTGCCTTTTGAACTGTTTACTGAACATCTTATTTCAATGTGCAGAGGTACTTTGCTCACCCACTGGTAGCTTTGTGAATTTCACTTTTGGATCTTGGGGGAGAATGGAGAGAAGAGGCTAGGCAAATAATTGGCAAGAAAAGCAAACGGTTACAAGGCTGTTAACAATGCAGCCTTGTTTACCCACTTTGCCTGTCTGGGTTTCTGAAACTGGATTCCTTAGCTCTGTGAACTAGTTAGTACAAGAGCACTCCTTTCGTTTTTTGGGTGCTTGGAATTGTAAGCATGTTGGAGAGAACACAGGCTTGTATATCTTAGTTGGATGAGTGCATCCCGTCACTGTTAGGACATGGTGGTGTAAAGGGATTAATAGTGAGAAGTGAGCTGGGACTGGTTTATGTGTGGAAGCCTCTGGAATTGCTTCTTAAGTCTGTTTGTGTTACGGGCATTTCAGAGTGGGGAGGTTACAGAAATCAAAAGCCTATTACTTTTGAAACCAGAAGTCTGCTAGTCACAGTTTTAACATTTTTTATTTATAAAGCAAAGGAACAAAAAAGACTACTTCATTTAATAGGTGGGGTTAGTTATGAGAAAGATCTAATTTTATTTTGCAGGCTCTTTCAAAGAGTACTACTTCTGAGTAGTATCTGTTTCGTAAAATTTAAATGACACTGTTATTTCCTCCCACTTTTGGTTGTGATCTGTTAATAAATATTACGTTTTTATTACAAGAATGAACCAGACACTGGAGTATGAGGATACTTTTCTTCTCATTTTAACAATTTTGAAAGAGTCATTTTTTTTGGAAACAGGAAAACTAAGGGCAGAATTTAAAATATCATCCTTGTTACTGTGAGAGAGGAGAGGAAATGTTTTAAGAAGTAGTATATCTGGTCTTAGGTCTTTTTTTGCTTGTGTGTCATAAGCTTGCTGTAGATGTTGGGACAGATAATCCTCCCCCCATTTTCATCCTCACTTTTGTTTTTCATATTTCTTTCTGGTTATCAACAAAAACATGATGAAAGTTAACTTTTAATAATGAAAATGTTGAGTTCTATCATCTGCATAACATCTGATTTTTGTTTTTTATTTTCAGCACTGGTTAGATGGTACAAAGAGCATCAAAAAGCAAGTAAAAAGTAAGTGTTGAAAAAATTGTGAACAAAAAGTAAATTATATATTAGAAGCTCTGATTCCTAATAAATCATGTTTCAGATGAATTTCTTAGCATCTCTACTTTAAAGATAATTTCAATTTGATATACTGACCTACCCCCTTAGTTCTAGAGGGTTAATAGTAATCTAGATTCAAGTGCTTTATAGTTTATTTCCTGGAGAAAGGCTTGCATCTTGCAAGGAGATTGAGTTCTCATGCAATGCTTAACTCTTATTTAGTAATTGTGTTGGAATTTTCCTGCTTGGCATCTGTCCTGCTCTGTAAAGTGTTTTGAGACTTTAAAGCTGTAACTTTTAAAATTTAAAAATAATGAAATGAAACAATTGACATAAAGTGTCAGTTTTATTCCTAGTAATAGGGAAAAATACCAGTGTTCACTCGTAATCCAGCTTGTTCTTTGTGGTAGTAGAGATTTCAGAGCGCCTCAACTTTTTTGTCTTTACAAAATAATGGGACCTCTGAGAATTTATAAGTTAGTGAATTAGGTGAAGTGAATTGAAAGTGTGGGGGGAATTTGCAGTGAGCGGTTAATAACCCAGGCATTCCTTAGTCTTTTAAGAAATATAGTGTGGCAGGTTTTTTAGGGCTGTTAGATTGCACAGTCAAGACTTTTTTTTTTTTTTTTTTT